GGCCATAAACTGATTTGCAGACAGGGGTCCTTAAGTGTGTTCTGGCAATGAATTCCAGATCTTTGGGCCTTTTATGTGCATAGCATTTTTGCATAGGGAGAGATGGACATGAGGGATATCAAAGAGTGATTTGTGTCTCATATTATGGTTGTGTATACTGTTATAGTTATCAAGGAGGAGTTCGAGAGGAGGGTTTACATTTGAGTATAGTGTTCTGTGTATGTAGTAGGCACAATAATAAGTGTGGATGTTTTGTATATTATGCAAGTTAAGACTCTTGAAGAGAGGTGGAGTGTGTTGTATAATGCAGGAGTTAGTAATCAATTACACTGCAGCTTTTTGCTGGGTTATTAAAGGCTTAAGGTGATTTGCTGTGGTTGAGTCTCGTGCACAAATACCATAGGCGAGGTAAGGGTAAATGAGAGGGTGGTACAAAGCTAGAAGAGCTGATTGGGGTACATAGTACTGTCTCTTTGAGAGGATGCCTACTGTTTTGGAGGCTTCCTTGGAAATTTGCTTATGTGTGCCTGAAATTTCAGACTGCAGTCAAGGTGGAGACCTAGAAATTTGCCCTCTGTCTGTCTAGAAATAGGTGAACCATTTATCAATATGTTTAGCTGTACATTTGAAGCTCCATTTCCAAAAAGCATGAAGAAGGTTTTGTCTATATTGAGAGTAAATTTGTTGGTAATCAACTAAGTAGATATTTTTCGCAGTTCAGTATTTACAGTGTCTGTATGGTTGAGTTTGGGTGAGAGAAGACATAAGTTGTGTCATCTGCAAATAAAATGGGTTTAAGGAGATCAGATGTGTTTGGTAGGTCATTGATGTAAATGAAAGAGAGAAGTGGGCCAAGGACACTTCCCTGTGGGACTCCAACAAGAACAGGTTGTATAGTGGAGCTGGCTCTATTTGTATATACAAACTGGGTTCTACTGTTAAGATAAGATTTTAGGTAATCAAGAGAGTGTCCTCTGACCCCGTAATATTCGAGTTTTTGGTGCAAAAGGTCATGGTCAACTGTATCAAAAGCTTTTCATAAGTCTATGAAAAGTCCCAGAGGAAATTCATTTTTCTCGAGTGCAGAATATATTAGTTCAAGCATATGTATAATAACATCATTAGTACTTTTTTTCGGTCTGAACTCAAACTGACATGGGTTGAGCATGTTGTGGGATACGAAGTAGGAGTAGATTTGTTTGTGAATTAATTTTTCGAAGATATTACATAGTAGGGGCAGGTTTGCTATAGGCCTATAGTTGTTCAATTCAGTTGGAACACCTCCTCTGAGGATCAGGGTGATTCTTGCTGTCTTGAGTATGCATGGGAAGGTAGAAGATTTGATGGATTTGTTCAACTTTTGACTGGTTCGGTCATACATATATGTCTTACGAGCCACCATGTTCGACGTATATATACTCAAATTCTAGCAGCTTCAAATCAAGCAGGAGAAAGCTGGTAGGCCCACATGTGAGAGAATGGGTCTGTGTGGTCAGTGTGCACCATATAAAAAAATCCTGCAGCACGCAGTGCATAATGAGAAAAAAAAACTCCGACCGTTTTTTTTAATTAAAATGCCGAATTTGTGGTCTATTTTCATATAGTATTTATGGTTGTATTCTCATTTTCTTGGTCTCATTTGATAGAATGGAAAACATATTATAGAAATAGAGGTGATTTTGATTGGTTTTACTATAAAAAGAACCTGGAAATGGAGCTCAAAATAGGGGAAATGTTTGATTTTTGCCGATGTTCAAAAGTAAACAAATGATGTCATTGTCCAATAAATGTCCAACTAGCCACTCTAATATGCAGTCATGAATGGGTTGACATTATTTATACAATTATTACAATATTGCAGTAGTCTGCATAACAGTAAATCTTCTATTTTTTGTTTGAATAAAAATTCAAAATAGAAAGCAAGAGTAATATCAGAGGGGCCTGGAGACATGACTGATGAACAAAGAAAATGTTATTTTAGAGCCAGGAATGTTTGCATTGCTCATTCTGGACCCTATTTTGAAATTGTCATATTGTCTAATTTTCGTGAAATTGGCCAAATTGCAAATTCTGACCATGTTATTGGATAGTTGAAATTGGTAAATGGGAAGTTTCTTTTACTCACTCGATAGAAAGAAGAGAATTCTAAAGAATTAGCTATGAGTTTGGTCGACTGGAACAATGGAATTAGCCGAAAATAGGGCTCAAAGTGGGCGAAATCACAGATTCGTAAATATCGCCGAGGTCGCTAACTTCGTGAGAGCATAACTCCATCAGTTTTCAATCTGAGAGCATAACTCCGTCAGTTTTCAATCAAATTTCGTTCTTTTGGTGTCATTACCATCATGAAAATATTCTCTATCATTTCATAGGAAAAAAATTTTTTTTTTTTAATTTTTGGGACACCAAGAGACACCTCAGGATTTGGGGTTGCGACAGTCAAGGGGTTAAAAAGAGTTGCAATAACTGGTGACAATACATGAGAAACTTTCTTATACATGAGTGGTGGTAAGTTATTTAGGTTTTCTGCCGTGTTCTTTAGTGTTTTGATGATAAGCGAGATTTCAGTAGGGTTTGTTAGGGCTAAAAATAGAGTATTTGGGTAGTTGCCAGTGAGGTAGTCTTTTGGTTGAATGTTTGAACATGGGATTTTACTTGCTAGATTTGGTCCTACAGTAGAGAAAAAGACATTAAGTTTGTTGGCAGTATTGGCTGGCTGAAGGGGAAGGTCTTCTGGTTTAGTTAAGTTAATCATTCCGTTTTATGACAACTTTTTAGATCCTAGAATTTCAGATAAGGTTTTCCAGGTCTTTTTCATATCATCTTTTATGTCATGAAATCTGTTTTCATAATAGTTTTTTGGACCTCATTATATTGGTTAGTACTGACGAGTAACGTCTTGTAAGATCATTTGTTATTAGACCCATTCTGTACTGTTTTTCATATAGATGTTTTTTATCAATAGATTTGAGAATGTGTGTAAAGTTAGAAAGTTGAAAGTGAACATAGAAAAGAGTAAGGTGATGAGGGTATCAAATGATTTAGATAAAGAAAAATTGGATATCAAATTGGGGAGGAGGAGTATGGAAGAAGTGAATGTTTTCAGATATTTGGGAGTTGACGTGTCGGCGAATGGATTTATGAAGGATGAGGTTAATCATAGAATTGATGAGGGAAAAAAGGTGAGTGGTGCGTTGAGGTATATCTGGAGTCAAAAAACGTTATCTATGGAGGCAAAGAAGGGAATGTATGAAAGTATAGTAGTACCAACACTCTTATATGGATGTGAAGCTTGGGTGGTAAATGCAGCAGCGAGGAGACGGTTGGAGGCAGTGGAGATGCCCTGTCTAAGGGCAATGTGTGGTGTAAATATTATGCAGAAAATTCGGAGTGTGGAAATTAGGAGGTGTGGAGTTAATAAAAGCATTAGTCAGAGGGCAGAAGAGGGGTTGTTGAGGTGGTTTGGTCATTTAGAGAGAATGGATCAAACTAGAATGACATGGAAAGCATATAAATCTATAGGGGAAGGAAGGAGGGGTAGGGGTCATCCTCGAAAGGGTTGGAAAGAGGGGGTAAAGGAGGTTTTGTGGGCTAGGGGCTTGGACTTCCAGCAAGCGTGCATGAGCGTGTTAGATAGGAGTGAATGGAGGCGAATGATACTTGGGACCTGATGATCTGTTGGAGTGTGAGCAGAGTAATATTTAGTGAAGGGATTCAGGGAAACCGGTTATGTTCATATAGTCGGACTTGAGTCCTGGAAATGGGAAGTACAATGCCTGCACTTTAAAGGAGGGGTTTGGGATATTGGCAGTTTGGAGGGATATGTTGTGTATCTTTATACGTATATGCTTCTAAGCTGTTGTATTCTGAGCACCTCTGCAAAAGCAGTGATAATGTGTGAGTGTGGTGAAAGTGTTGAATGATGATGAAAGTATTTTCTTTTTGGGGATTTTCTTTCTTTTTTGGGTCACCCTGCCTCGGTGGGAGACGGCCAACTTGTTAAAAAAAAAAAAAAAAAAAAAAAAAAAAAAAAAAAAAAAAAAAAAAAAAAAAAAAAAAAAAATTGAGAATGCTGTTTGTAAGCCAGGGGCTGTTTAGTCTCTGCTGTGATCTGCTTAGTTTTTATTGGGCAATGCATGTTATAGAGGTTTTGGGGCTTTTTTGTAAAAAAAATATTAACACATTCATCACTATCAAAGTTGTCTGCTGGCTTGTTTTGCCAATGTCACTATGTTAAAATAAAGTTATTAACAGATGACTCATCATGTAGTCGGAAGGTGATCTTAGTTGTGTCCTGGGGCAATTTACACAAGTAGGTTAAGAGAAAGATGAGTTAGTGGTCAGTGGTGTTATCTGTGATTATGCATGCTTTTAATGGGGATATAGTGTTTGTCCAGATATGGTCTAGTAATGAGCATTTGTTTTGGCGATTCTTGTAGGTTTTGTTATTGTTGGTAGAAGTAAGCAGCTGTTCATAGTGTTTGTGAATTCAGTCACCTGTGGGGTCATGGTCATGGATGAGATTTATGTTGAAGTCCCCTGTAAGTATTAGGTGGTGTCTGTTCACATCTGTGCTAGTTATTACGTTTCTTTGTTTTTCACTAAAAGAGTAAATATTGGAGTGAGGAACTCTATAAATTGCTCCTACTGTTAGAGGTTTTGTAAGGTCTTTGGATTTAAATTTAGCAAATGTATATTCACCATATTCATCCCTTGTGCAAGTAGAATTTATACACTCTAGTTCATCAGAGTAGTATATAGCCATTCCACCTCCTAATTGATCTGGCCTACAATTGTGTATGGCCATGTAGCCAGGTGTGTAACATCATGTTTTAGCCAGGTTTCAGTGAGAGTAATGAGAGACATACTGACATTTTGAGAATTAAGTAGTGCTTGGAGGTCATCATATGTAATAATTCACTAAGGGTATAATTAGCAGCACATTATATTACTGTATATTAATAGCTATATAACCAAACAAATTCAAGGTAAGAACTCACAGAAGGCATGCCTGACAGCCCACAACGTCGCAGCATGCTTGACTTTGGATGTAATCCTAGCCTTACCAATTCATCTCGGGTTGCACTGAAAATACGATACTTCATTAAAGACCAAGATGGATGAGGGCAATCATGTATGATTACAATCTGCAAAAACACACACCACTATTTTTGTAAATCACAATGGTCATTTACTGCCAAGATAGGGTGGCACAATGAAGGCAACATTCATCATCACTCATTCAGCAGCAATTCTGCATATCAGTAAAACCCATGTCAGTGAATAAGAGAACAGAAGTACAGTGTCTACACTCTGAAGGAGAGGTGGGGATGATGCAGTTCAGAGGGTCATTCCAACTGTCATGTCTGCAAACTTTTGGCAAAACAGCTATTGAGTCAGTAATGATGAATAATTTTTTTCTGAGCCCTTGTACCTTGTTGGGAGAGAGAGTCAGTGATTAAAAAAGAAATACATATACAGTAGGGCTCCACTTATATGGCAGGTTAAGTTCCAGGCTACCGCTGGAGAGCAGACGTAGCCAGAAAGCAGAACTCCATTTCTCCACTTATAAATGCCATATAAGTTTACACCAACATATATTAAGTTAGCAATAGAACTAGGCATTAAAAACAATAAAAAGTAAAATACACACAAAGTACACTCATTACTTACCTTAAAATATTTGTAGTCTTAATGTAGGGTGAGGGGTGAGTAGTATTTATTTGTAGGAAGTCAGGTGTTGGAGGTATGGTAGCCAGCCAGGCCACCCACCCACATGTAATATACTACAACATTTAACCCATAACTCTTTGAGGGTCCAGAGGCCAAATCTCAAGAGTGACAGCCAGGGTCCAAGAATTTAAAAAAAAAAAAAAAAAAAAAAAAAAAAAAAAAATTGTCATTTATTCTTATGAAATGTTAGAGAATCTTTTTCTGAAGGTAATAAAGCAAAAAGTATGAAATTTGATGAAAAATTGATGAAATTATGCTCTTGTGAATGATGCCTTTCCTTACCTTTGCCTTTGAAGAGTTTCGAGATTTTATCTACTCTCTAGCTCGACCATGGGCCAGGCTCGTCTGGTGCTTGCCTGGTCAACCAGGTTGTTGCTGCTGGTGGCCTGCTGCCCCACATATCCATCACAGCCTGGTTGATCTGGCACCTGGTGAAAATACTTGTCTAGTTTTCTCTTGAAGGCTTCTACGCTTGTTCCAGCCGTGTTTCTGATATTTTCTGGTAAGATGTTGAATAGTCTGAGATCCCGGATGTCGATACAGTGTTCCCTTATTGTCCCCACTGCACCCCTGCTCCTCACTGGGTTTATTTTGCACTTCCTCCCATATCTCTCACTCCAGTACATTGTTATGGCAGTGTGCAGATTTGGGACCAGGCCCTCAAGTACTTTCCAGGTATATATTATCATATACAGTGGACCCCCGGTTAACGATATTTCTTCACTCCAGAAGTATGTTCAGGTGCCAGTACTGACCGAATTTGTTCCCATAAGAAATATTGTGAAGTAGATTAGTCCATTTCAGACCCCCAAACATACACGTACAAACGCACTTACATAAATACACTTACATAATTGGTCACATTCGGAGGTAATCGTTATGCGGGGGTCCACTGTATCTCTCCTCCTCCACTCCAATGAGTACATGTTCAAGACATGAAGGCATTCCCAGTAGTTTAGGTGCTTTACTGGCTCAATGTGAGCCGTAAACGATCTCTGTATTTGTTCGAGCTCCGATATTTCTCCTGCTTTGAATGGGGCCATTAGCACTGAGCAATATTCTAAGTGAGGGAGCACTAGAGATTTGAAGATTGTCACCATCGGCATTATCTCCCTTGTTTTGAATGTTTTCAATACCCATTCCTCTTAAAAGAAAGGAGTGTTAATACGACATGGCATCAGCAAATCCCTGGTGTTTGCCACACTATTTGCTCTAGCTGCTGCTCAACTGAACTGGTGCTCCCACAAGGTACTAACTGATTCCAGATTTTTTTTAATACTGCACACACCTAGTGCTAAGACCCATTCTATAGTGACCAGACATCTCAGGCCAGATCGTACCAAATTTGGAGGCAGGAAAATTAAACATTGATCTACGTTTGGAGTGCTAACGTTAAGAACATAGATCTATGTTTGGACAGTTTAAGGATTAGTGCTCCAGAGAAATAAAGTGCACATACAGTGGATCATTATATTACACGGATTTACTTGCCACATTTTGGTTATTGCACTATTGAAAAATTGTGGCAATTACTGGGAGTGCTTGAAGTTCCTGAACCTGTACTCCCTGGAACACAGGCGGGAAAGATACATGATTATATACACCTTGAAAATCCTAGAGGGACTAGTACCAAACCTGCACACAAAAATCACTCTCTAAGAATGCAAAAGACTCGGCAGACGATGCAACATCCCCCCAATGAAAAGCAGGGGTGTCACTAGCACGTTAAGAGAACACAATAAGTGTCAGGGGCCCAAGACTGTTCAACTGCCTCCCAGCATACATAAGGGGGATTACCAATAGACCCCTGGCTGTCTTCAAGCAGGCACTGGACAAGCACCTAAAGTCGGTACCTGGCCAGCCTGGCTGTGGCTCGTACGTTGGATTGCGTGCAGCCAGCAGTAACAGCCTGGTTGATCAGGCCCTGATCCACCATGAGGCCTGGTCACAGACCGGGCCGCGGGGTCGTTGACCCCCTTAACTCTCTCCAGGTAAACTCCAGGTAATACATACTTTGTAAAATTAACTTTACATGGTTCCATTTGCAGACGCAGAAAAAAATTCCCCAACTCAAGCTGCCACCTTGTTGTGGGTCTGCGGGGAAGACCTCCTGCTATCCCCTGCCACCCCTGACACTCCCGCCACCACCATCCTAGCCTTCGTGAATATGTGTTCAGTTCCATTCTTAGGAGCTAGCTGTGTTTGTGAATTGTGTTTTGATCTTTTAATTACCGTATCTTGTATCTGTCAAGGAATCATGGCACCCAGTAGGCATACCAGTGTTGCTGAAAGTGTCAAGAAAAGGTATAAGTGTTTAAGTCTTAGAGTTAACAAAGAAAATATGAGATACAGTGATACCCCGCATATCCAGCCTGCTATTATCTGAACCTCACCAATTTCCGAACAGGCCCTAAGAAAGGGCAAAATTCTAAAATTATTATCAAGGCTATATATGGAGGACATGATGGTGGTAAGTGACGAAAAAGGCCGAGATGTGGGAGTCTTGACCCTGGACAACCTTAAAACATACAACCTGCATGCCATCTTTCATAACCTTGCCCAGGCCTGGAATAATGTCCCACCATCTACCCCTGCCAATGGCTGGAATCGGCTCCTTCACGGGATTGATCCAGTTATTGATTTTGATGGATTCAAGGCGAAAGATTTCCATTGCCAGTTACTCAAGGCTAGGGTAAAAACTACAGGAGACGATGTGCAGGACTCGATAGTGTGTGATGAAGACGACCCTGGTGTGCAGTCTCTGACGGATGCAGAGACTGCAGAATCAGTGTTAAACCCGGAACATTCTGAAAGTGACAACAATGACTGACCCAATGCCCCCAAGACCAAAAACTTCAGCAGCAAGGGCAGGTGTCAAAACACTTCTGGAGTATTTGGAGCATCCACTGTCCACAGCCCATTTGAAAAGTTATGGTCCTGTGGTCCGTGAAATCTGGGAGGCTGTTATTTGAGCCCAGTGTGTCTGGTCCCACTGCCAACAACGTTAGACTAGTTTTTTAAACCTACAACGCCATCACCAATGATGATATGATGGTACAGATGTGCATTTTTTATCCCTCACATATCCAGAAACTGTGTTTCCAAACCAGTCTCAGCCCATATAGTTTGGATGTGAGAGGTATCACTGTATTAGACAAGAGATAGCCTGTGGCTGTAATGAAGTGTCACACTGTGCAATCAAAAAAATGAGGTAAATATATGAGTATGTGTGATGAATAACTGACTTTAACTTAACTTGAGATTTGACTTTTGACTGACTTTTGACTTGACTTAAAGTTAGACTTTTTTCACTGAAGAGGACCCTGAAACAGTGTCCTGAGCAGCCAATGCCTTACCGTCAGTTACATAATGTACTGCGGGGTAAAATAGAACAGAAATCCATTACAGAATTTATGCACACTCCAGTACAATCATCGACTTCGGTACCACAACATCTACCATCCACCTCAGCCCAGTAGGGCCACAGCATAACTCTCCACAATCAACAAACACCAGCACCCACAATTTATGGCAAGAAATACTATTATTTCTGTTACATTTGTAGTCTTAAGCAGTAAAAACAACATAAAACATCACGACAATGAACTACAATTACACATTCACTTTTATTTTTGTAGGATCTGGAGGTCTAAAAAAAGTTGTTTGGCTTTGTTGGGTCTCCCAGGAATGTAGCCTTATGCTTCCCATAAGTTCTTCAGTTAATCTAACACGGATTTACCTAACACGGCGTTTTCAGGATCATAACTACCATGTAATATAATGGTCTACTGTACAGTACATTCATTACTTACCTTAAAATATTTGTAGTCTTAATGTAGGGTGAGAGGCGAGTAGCATTTATTTGTAGGAAGTCAGGTGTTGGAGGTATGGTAGCCAGCCAGGACACCCACCCACACATACTATACTTTGACATTTAAAGCACTCCAGAGCAATAAAATGCATATACAGTACACTCATTACTTACCTTAAAACATTTGTAGTCTTAATGAAGGGCGAGAGGCGAGTAAATGAGGTGAAACGAATAAAAGAGAGAGAACGAGTAATGAGAGGAGATGCAGAGTCATGTAAACAAGCAGACAAACGCATCTGGTTTTGATTCATACACGTAACATCTCGTATTTATATTAACTTATTCTACTGTGGGGTGTATCTGTCATGTTTATATGTTATGTAATGTGTTTATAAAATAGTTTTGAAAAAATATCATAGATGGATTAATGAAAATGTTTATATTAACATAATATATGACATTTAATGTGGCTTAGAGTGATTATTATTGCATATTATTATTATCACAAAACTGTTGTCCAGAGGGCTGAGGAAGGGTTGTTGAGGTGGTTCGGACATGTAGAGAGAATGGAGCGAAACAGAGTGACTTCAAGAGTGTATCAGTCTGTAGGGCGGTTGGAGGGAGGGAGTAAAGGAGGTTTTGTGTGCGAGGGGCTTGGACTTCCAGCAGGCATGTGTGAGCGTGTTTGATAGGAGTGAATGGAGACAAATGGTTTTTAATACTTGACGTGCTGTTGGAGTGTGAGCAAAGTAACATTTATGAAGGGGTTCAGGGAAACCGGCAGGCCGGACTTGAGTCCTGGAGATGGGAAGTACAGTGCCTACACTCTGAAGGAGGGGTGTTAATGTTGCAGTTTAAAAACTGTAGTGTAAAGCACCCTTCTGGCAAGACAGTGATGGAGTGAATGATGATGAAAGTTTTTCTTTTTCGGGCCACCCTGCCTTGGTGGGAATCGGCCAGTGTGATAAAAAAAAAATAATAATAATTATTATCATTGTTAATATGGCATCCTCAAGACTAATAAGACTCTCTTAGTGATTTTAATGTGTACCTACACGCCAGCACAGTGTATACGTTTATTTAGGTACAGGTATATATGAGTATAATTATCACAGTAGATATAAAACTCTAAGTAGGAGGTTGGTAGACAGCAACCACCCAGGGAGATACTACCATCCTGGCAAGTGAATGCAAAACAGAAGCCTGTAATTGTTTTACATGATGGTAGGATTGCTGGTGTCTTTTTTTCCATCACAGAAACATGCAAGATTTCAGGTACGTCTTGTTACCTCTACTTACATTTAGGTCACACTACACATGCATGTACAAGCAAATATACACACACCCATCTGGGTTTTCTTCTATTTTTCTTACTAGTTCTAGTTCTTGTTTAATTCTGCTTATTTCCATGGGAAAGTGGAACAGAATTCTTCTTCCATAAGCCATGCATGTTGTAAGAGGCAACTAAAATGCCAGGAGCAAAGGGCTAGTAACCCCTTCTCCTGTATATTTTACTAAATTTAAAAGGGAAAACTTTTGTTTTTCCTTTTGGGCCACCCTGCCTCAGTGCGCTGAGAGAAGAATGAAAGATATATAAAACATGAAATAACTTTAAAACCCTTAAAATTCTGTAAAGTTTCCAGACATAATGGCGAGACGAGGGTGCTCATGGAGAATGTAAACAAACCAGGTGGGGTGGTGACGGTATTAGAAAGTCAGGTGGAGGGAGCCGTATAGTGAATTTTGGCCATAATTTGCAATGTCCATAATAGCGGAACGTCGTAAAGCAGGGCATTACTGTATAGGCTTCCGTTTCACACTTATTTAACAGGACAGTAGTACCACCGTGGGTGGTTGCTGTCTAAAAAACCTACCTAGGACTGGGAAGAGGTCTGGGATTAAAATGGAGTCACAGTTGATTTATGACCATGACGCTGTGCTTTTGGTTAATTCTAAAGAGAATTTGCAAAAGTTGGTGGATGAATTTGGGAGAGTATGTAAAAGAAAGTAATTAAAAGTGAACACAGGAAAGAGCAAGGTGATGAGGGTAACAAACAATTTAGGTGCAGAAAGACTGGGTATCAGATTGGAAGCTGGAAGTATGTAGGAAGTGAATGTGATCACAAATTTGGGAGTGGACTTATCAGCAGATGGGTCTATGAAAGAAGAGGTGAACCATAGAACTGACGAGGGAAAAGAAGTAAGTAGTGCAATGAAGCATCTGTTGAGACAGAATGTTATCCACGGAGGCATAAAGGGGAATGTATGAGAGTATAGTGGTACCAACACTTTTCTAAAATGAAGACAATACAAAAACAAAATTAGTCAAAATAATTACTTGAGAAATAAGAAATTATCTGAAGCCATTTCAGTCAACTTGGGACGGTTCAACAGGAGTGATCGGAGTGCACCCAGAGTGGTCTGGTTGGGAGGAAGAAGTGGGATACTCTCTGGGCAAGTCAGTGTGCATGCCTCACAATCCACACCTGTAAATAATTGTTCTATTAGTCTAATTATTTATTTATGAAGATATGCTAAACCCCACAGAGATGATACATCTCCTGGATGAAAAAAAGTAATCAGGTCTGATCTGAAAATAGGGAGGGTAGCTTTGGTTCCTTGAATCAAGAGCCCTTCACCACCATCAAGAAAGCCCCTAAAACACTTACAAATCTTTCTATATGTATCACAATGTTTTCTAAAGAAATCAAAGCACTAATGAAAATAGGGAGGGTAGCTTTGGTTCCTTGAATCAAGAGCCCTTCACCACCATCAAGAAAGCCCCTAAAACATTTACAAGTCTTTCCATATGTATCACAATGTTTTCTAAAGAAATCAAAGTACTAAGCATAAAAGAACAAAATACAATGAAAAACTAAGAAAAATACAAAATTCAGTGAGGAGAACAAAATTATATATATATTTTTTTTCAACAAGTTGGTTGTCTCCCACAGAGGCAGGGTGACCCAAAAAGAAAGAAAATCCCCAAAAAGAAAATACTTTCATCATCATTCAACACTTTCACCTCACTCATGCATAATCAGTGTGTTTGTACAGGCTCAGATACGACAGTTGAGAAGTCCCTCCAAACTGTCAATATCCCAGACCCCTCCTTTAAAGTGCAGGCATTGTACTTCCCATTTCCAGGACTCAAGTTTGGCTAAATCTATAATAACCAGTTTTCGTGAATCCCTTCACTAAATATTACCCTGCTCACACTCCAACAGATCGTAAAGTCCCAAAAACCATTTGTCTCCATTTACTCCTATCTAACATGCTCACACATGCTTGCTGGAAGTCCAAGCCCCTAATTTACCCCTTCCCTCCAACTTTTTCAAGGACAACCCCTACCCCTCCTTCCTTTCCCTACAGATTTATGTGTTCTCCAAGCCATTCTACTTTGATCCATTCTCTCTAAATGACCAACCCACCTCAACAACCCCTCTGACTAATACTTTTATTAACTCCACACCTCCTAATTTCCACACTCTGAATTCTCTGCATAATATTTACACCACACATTGCCCTTAGATAGGACATCTCCACTGCTTCCAACCGCCTCCTAGCTGCAGCATTTACAACCCAAGCTTCACACCCATAAAAGAGTGTTGGTACCACTATACTTTCATATATTACCTTCTTTGCCTCCATAAATAACTTTTTTGTCTCCACAGACACCTCAATGTGCCACTCACCTCTTTTCCTTTATCAATTCTATGGTTAACCTCATCCACTGACAAGTCAACTCCCAAATATCTGAAAACATTCACTTCTTCCATACTCCCTCTCTCCAATGAGATATCCATTTTTTCTTTATCTAAATCATTTCATACCCTCATCACCTTACTGATCTATGTTCACTTTCTACCTTTACACACCCTCCCAAATTCATCTACTAACCTTTGCAACTTTTCTTTAGGGTCTCCCATAAGCACAGTACGTATCATCAACAAAAAATAACTGTGTCAACTCCCATTTTGTACTTGATTCCCCATAATTTAATCCCACTCCTCTCCCCAACACCCTAGCACTTACTTTCTTTTACAACCCCATCTATAAATATATTAACCTTTTCAGGGTCCACAGGCCCTCTCAGAGACTTGTTCTCAGGGTCCCCCAAATTTCAAAAAAAAAAAAAAAAAAAAAAAAAAAAAAAAGAAAAAAAAAAAAAAAAAAAAAAAAAAAAAAAAAAAAAAAAATTTATGAAAAGATAGATAATCTTTTCCCGATCATAATGACACCAAAAGTATGAAATTTGATGGAAAACTTATGGAATTATGTTCTCATGAAGTTAGCGGTCTCAATGATATTTACACATCGGCGATTTTGCCCACTTTGAGCCCTATTTTCAGCCAATTCCAGTGTACTAGTTGACAAAATCATAACTGTTTCGCTAGAACTCCATTTTTTCTATCGAATAAGTACAAGAAACCACCCATTTACCAATTCCAACTATCCAATACAGTGGTCAGAATTTAGCAATTTTGCCAATTTCACACAAATTTCAAAAGATGCCAATTTCCAAATAGGGTCCAGAATAAACAAGAAAGACATTCCTGGCACTAAAATAACATTTCCTCTGTTCATTAGTCACGTCCCCACGCCCCTCTTACATTCTTTTGTTTCCCACTTTGAATTTTTATTCTCACAAAAAATAGAAGATTTACTGTTATGCAGACTACTGCATTAGTGTAGAAATGGTATAAATAATATCGGCGCACTTGTGAAAGAATATTGGACTCACCAGTTGACGTGTATTGGACGCTTCGCAGATTTGTTTACTTTTGAACTTTGGTAAAAATCGAACATTTCTGCTACTTTGAGCTCAATTTCAAGGTACTTTTCATTGTAAAACCAGTCAAAATCATCTCAATTTTTGTAATATGTCTTCCATTCTATAAAATGAGACCAAGAAAACTAGAATACAACAATAAATACCATATGAAAATACAGTGCAAATTTGCTGTTTTAATCCAAAAACATGGTCAAAGTTTTTTTTTTCTCATTATGCACTGTGTGCTGCAGGATTTTTTTTATACTGCACACACTGACCACACAGACCCATTCTTTCATATGTAGGCCTACCAGCTTTCTCTCACTAGATTTGAGGGTGCTAGAATTTAGGCATACTAGTATAGTACGTCAAAAACCCTTGTGCGTAAGCCGTTCTAGTACGTCCGAAACCCTGAAATGGTTAAACAACCATGGTGACATTACACATCCCTGTCTAAGACCTACTTTTCCTGGGAAGTAAAATCCCTCTCTCCTACACACCTTAACCTGAGCCTCACTATCCTCACAAAAACTCTTTGCAGCATTTAGTAACTTACTACCTATTCCATACACTTGGAACATCTGCCGCATTGCTCCCCTATCCACTATCATTTGCCTTTTCTAAATCCATAAATGCAATGAAAATTTCCCTACCTATATCTAAATCTTATTTCAACGTACCAGCCATATCCCACTGAGGTGGGGTGGCCTAAAAGGAAAAACAAAAGTTTTGCCTTTTAAATTTAGTAATATATACAGGAGAAGGGGTTATTAGCCCCTTGCTCCCGGCATTTTAGTCACCTCTTACAACACGTATGGCTTACGGAGGAAGAATTCTGTTCCACTTCCCCATGGTGGTAATAGGAAATAAACAAGAACAAGAACTAGAAAGAAAATAGAAGAAAACCCAGAGGGTGTGTATATATATGCTTGTACATGTATGTGTAGTGTGACCTAAGTGTAAGTAGAAGTAGCAAAATGTACCTGAAATCTTGCATGTGTATGAGACAGAAAAAAAAGACACCAGCAATCCTACCATCGTGTAAAACAATTACAGGCTTCTGTTTTACACTCACTTGGCAGGACGGTAGTACCTCCCTGGGCGGTTGCTGTCTACCAACCTACTACCTAAATTTCATACATTTATTAAACAAAAATACCAACAACTCAACACAATATCCCCCACTGCTTTTAACATTTCTGTCATGATCCCATCAGTTCCAACTGCTTTACCCCTTTCATTCTACGTAATGCCTCACGCACCTCCCCCACACTCATATCCTGCTCTTCTTCACTCCTTAAGATGTTATACCCCCTAACCAGTTCATGAAATTCCTGCCTCCCTTTCATCATCGACATTTAGAAGTTCCTCAAAATATTCCCACCATCTACCCAATACCTCCAGCTCCCCATGTACTAACTTCCCTACTCTGATTTTAAGTGACAAATCCATTCATTACCTAGGCTTTCTTAACTTTTTTATCTCACTCCAAAATGTTTTCTTATTTTTAGCAAAATTTCTTGCCAGTGCCTCTACCACTATCATCTGCTCTCCTTTTGCACTCTCTCACCACTCTCTTCACCTTTCTTTTACTCTTCATACACTCTGCTCTTCTTACAACACTTCTGCTTTGTAAAAACCTCTCATAAGCTATTTTTTTCTCTTTTATCACACCCTTTACTTCATCATTCCACCAATTACTCCTCTTTCCTCCTGCACCCACCCTCCTATAGCCACAAACTTCTGCCCCACATTCTAATACTACATTTTTAAAATTATCCCAACCCTCTTCAACCACCACACTGCCACCTTTCTGCCTATAGATGCTTATATCTCACCCTAACTTTCTCCTCCCTTAGTTTATACACTTTCACTTCTCTCTTACTTGCTATTGCCATTTTCCTTTTGTCCCATCTACCTCTTACTCTAACTGTAGCTACAACTAAATAATGATCCGATATATCCTTTGCCCCTCTATAAACATGTACATCCTGAAGCCTACCCATCAACCTTTTATCCACCAATACATAATCTAACAAACTACTTTCATTACTTGATATATCATACCTTGTATAATCATTTATCCTCTTTTTTCAAAAAATATGTATTACTTATTACCAAACCTCTTTCTACACATAGCTCAATTACAGGCTCCCCATTTTCATTTACCCCTGGCACCCCAAATTTACCTACTACTCCCTCCACAACATTTTTACCCCCTTTAGCATTGAGATCCCCAACCACAAGTACTCTCTCACTTGGTTCAAAACTCCCCACACACTCACTCAACATTGAAACCCCTGACATAATCCCATTTATTTCTCCAAACTGAAACTCTCCCACCCCCTTCTCATTCGTAACATCCACAACGATCTCTTTCTTATCATTCACACAACATCCACGCACATTCAAACATCCCACTTTGACAGTTTTCTTCTTTTTCTTTTTAGTAAGATATATGGGAAAAGGGGTTACTAGCCCATTGTTCCTGGCATTTTAGTTGACTTTTAAAACATGCATGGCTTACAGAGGAAAGATTTTCTGAAGAGAAAACAAGGGCTAGTAACCGCTTCTCCTGTATAAATTATTAAATATAAAAAGAAAAACTTGTTTCTTCTGCTTAGGTGGGAGACAGCTGGTGTTAAAAAAATAATGAATAAGAGTCACTACTGTTAATGTACACTTAATGTAGCGTGCCATACCATCATGCTGTGGTCAGTTAATTACTGTGATAG